CTCGGCAGTGCTACGCTGGCTAGCACTATGGAAGAAAGAGACTTGGGGGTCATCATTGACCACAAGATGAACATGAGCCTGCAATGCAATGCTGCAGCCAGTAAAGTAACCAAAACGCTGGCTTGCATCCATAGATGCGTCTCAAGCAAATCCCGGGATATCATTCTACCCTCGTATTTGGATATCATTCTCCCCTTGTATTTGGCCTTGGTGAAGCCGCAGCTGGAGTACTGCATCCAGTTTTGGGCTCCACAATTGAAAAAGGATGTGGAGAAGCTTGAGAGAGTCCAGAGAAGAGCCACATGCATGATCAGGTCAGGAAAACAGACCTTACAATGACAGGCTGAGAGCTATGGGGCTTTTTAGCCTGGAAAAACACAGGCTCAGAGGTGATCTGATGGCCACCTATAAGTTTATCGGGGTGACCACCAGTATCTGGGGGAACGTTTGTTCACCAGAGCGCCCCAAGGGATGATGAGGTCGAACAGTTATAAACTACTACAAGACCGTTGTAGGCTGGACATAAGGAAGAATTTCTTTACTGTCTGAGCCCCCAAGGTCTGGAATAGCCTGCCATCAGAGGTGGTTCAAGCACCTACATTGAACACCTTCAAGAAAAAAATTGGATGCTTATCTTGCTGGGATCCTATGACCCCAGCTGACTTCCTGCCCTTCGGGCGGGGGGCTGGACACAATGATCTTCCGAGGTCCCTTTCAGCCCTAATGTCTAGGAATCTATGGCAAGACAAAGACTGTGCCTCTCCCCTTTGTTGGGTTCTACACTTCTCACAGATGAGATAAGATCTTACTCCAGATAGCTGCCTTATGCCCTCTCTATTCCTTAAGATGAATCATGAAAACTGTCTTTTATAATGCTCCAAGACAGGGGTGGGCAAAATGCAGCCTGCCAGACCATTCTATCTGGCCTGCGGGGTCTGTAAAAAAATTTAGAAAATTAATATTGATCTGTCCTGGACTGCCTGTCATGCAGCCCTCGATGGCTTGCCAAAACTCAGTAAGTGGCCCTCTGCCCAAAATAACTGCCCGCCCCTGCTCCAAGACATACTGCTAATCCTATTCTTGGAGAATGGAAGGTAATTTTTCCCATGTGGCCAAAATGGCATGGGGCATAATGGGTATTTGCCTTTCTACAGTAACCTGGAAATACTGTTAGACTGAAAGCATCAACATTTAAAGATTTAATATTAATGGTTGAGGCTACTACTGATGTCAGTCCTGAAGAGTAAAAGGAACAGCTCCCAGCGATACAGGGACAAAGACACTTGCTGGTGTACCTTTTTCCATGGGAGATTTGAGATCTGAAAATTTTCTGGACTCAGAAGCTTTTTCCTTTGATAGTTTCATTCATCCCACTTCCTCATACCAGAGGACAGGGAAATTGGTCTCAGTTATGATAAGAAGGAACTATATTTTATTCATCTTGGTTATATGCCCTGCAATCTATGCTGCATCCAATGAAAATTCCTAGTATGAGTGTGTATATGCATGTGTGCACGGGAAGTGATTGGGGGTGGGTGGGAGAGATATAATCCCTCTCTCCAGCGTTAGTTTAATAAATTCGCAGCCTGCCACTTGAATCCATCCCACGCGTCTTTTGTTCATTTGCCTTTGTGGTGTGGTCAGAAAACAGAATAGTAAGCAGCCATCACAGCATTCAGGTGCCTGTCCTCTGTCTTTGTCTTGCCATGAATTATCACGGCTCAGGTAGGTTTTAAGAGATGTATAGTAAGTGAATGAGGCAATGTGGATTTTTACAGGGAGCTCCATGTAGTAGGGCACAGAGACAAATATGAATGGTGGTGCTTTTGTGAAAGTTTGGCAAATGGTTTATCAAGGGCAACATAACTTGCAGTCTGGAAGCTAGTAAGCACAGAGCAGGCCAATATGCACAGTGACCCAGCTTCGTATGGTAAATTAGCAGCAAAGCCATTTCCCCTGAAGACAGTCCTAGAATTTGTAGTCAACCCTCAATTGGTCCGTTTCAGTTTGCACTGTTTTTAGTACTTATTACATCCAGTCTAGACGTCATTGTCTAAAGGGCTCCATCTTACAAAATGGTGAGGAGATGTATGCGTGAAGTACTGCACTCTAAACTTCCTGCAATTGCAGTGGTAGCCAAAGATATTCAGCCCATTGCCTGACTGAAGCCCAACTGTAAGGGTAAAGCATGGAAGATCAAATAACTTGCTATGGTAGAATCATAAAAAATGTTTCACATCAAAAGCAGGACACTCAACAAAAAGTATCAAGTTATCACAATGAAGTACCAGTATATTTTGTGGTTTTAAGGAACAGATGGGGAGTTCAATTCTGTGCAGTATCCTTTATAAATCAAAATTAATGTTCAAATCAGGATTCTAAAAAAGAAGAATGAATAGGCTTTCCCAGAAAGTTGCCAATTTTTTTGACAACCTACATATACTTAGGACTACTCCCATGCTCTTAATGAAACATTAATAATATCACACTGTTTAACTGTCAGATTAGTGAGCTGTTCACAACTACAAAGCCGTGCCCTACAGGAGCATTTTAGTTATCAACTCTAAGTGAATGAGCATTTGTTGAACAATATCAGTAGTCGCAAGAGTTGGAAAACACAGCGGTGCTTAGCTTTCGCAGCATAAAGCAACGTAACGTGATTAAAGCAGTCTTTTGCAAGCACTTGAGGATAATGTGTAGTCAGAAATACATTATGTTTCTAAAAATCAAAAGACATTCTTTATTCAGAGTCAACAATTGATAAAACCCACATCTTTTGATCATTGAATCTGCTGCCTGTACAATTTCATCAGTATTTTTCTCTGCCCCTTTCTGGGTCCCTACTGAACACTCTCTCCTTGAATGACTCTCTCATTGATGTGTACACCATCCCGTTGTGTAGCAAAGACAGCAAAACCTTTTTGGTAAAGCATTCAGACTGGAGCCTGCAGAGACTGTTTTGTTCCAGCAAGACTTACAAATTCTCACTTCTTTTCAAGCTGTCATTACAAATATAGTGTGTTTCTCAAAGTTACACTTGGGACTTTTCAGAGAGCCAGTTTAAGACTGAAAACCTTAAATAGCTAGCTTTAATTGAACACTTAATTCCATGCAATTCAGGGCAGGCCCATTTGTGGATTGTAAGAACTGAATAATAATACAACTTTGTTGGTTTTTCAGTTTCCAGTGCTATTGATGATAGCCAGCCATTGGAGTGTAATGCACAGCTAATATGGTTCTCTGTTCCTAAGACCAAACATTTCTAACTATTATGAGGCACTACTGTTACTGTTCAGAATTTGTATTACTGTAGCACATAGAAGCTGTAATCATAGACCAGGACCCCACCATCCTGACACAGGATTGTGAGCTAGTGTTTGCTCTGAAATTCTTACCTTGCATTGGTATGAAGGACCAGATTCTGACTCCTTTAGTGCATAGGCAGGATAGGAAGAGGACCTGAAGGGAAGACAGAATCCTTTTGCTTGTGACCTACAGGCATGATTTACTCCCATTGAAATTAAAGGAAAAATTCCCAGCAACTTCTGCAATGGCTTACTGAGTGGAAGCACAAGATTGTTTATCACAAGGCCACACACAATGAAGACAAGCCTCTTCACCTTCTCTACTGGAAGGCCATTCCTGATGAAGTGTCTGCAAAAAATAAATGGATAAAAGCCTTTTTGTAATGCACCCTCACGCTGGAGCATAAAAGGAAGTTTACTTTGCAGGATATGGACTTGATTGTGCATTGCCTTGCACTGTGTATAATCATTTCCACCTGCAAGTGTAATATAGTATCCCTCTGCTTTGGTTGCAGGCTAGTGCACCTCACACAGGTGTTATCATTAAACAAAGTGCAAACTGGTGGAGAATAAGGCTCCACATGCTCCTGGTAATTACTGTTTTTACAGAGCTTCGTTATCCAGCCTCTGCCTCTCACGTCTACAGCTTCTATACCCACAATTTGTAGCTGTAGAGGCATCTGTAATTAAGAAAGTGCTTAATCAAACCAGTTTACTTCAAACTGGAGTCAATTTGAGTAAAATGCTGTTTATGGGGATAAAAATGCTGATGTTCCATTACAAAGCCTAGCACACAGCAGGCTGTGACTTCCAAACTACCATACTAGTTTCAAATTCTTATGCTGGTAGAGTGCTGAGCAATGACACTGACTGGAACCAATCCCATGTGATTATTAAAATATGCAGTTATTAACTGTTGGATGTACTTCTTATCTGTTCCTTTAGTGATGTGTGTAACAAAACCACTGCAATTTTAATGCAGTTTCATTCTGGGTTACATTTACAATTCTAGCTAATTTGGACTGCTGCAGGAACAGGCAGACATAAGTTAACAGCATAACAGCCGATGCCTTCTCACCAGGGGCAATTTCCCCTCTTTTTGAAGAAGTTAACAGTTGCCTCTTTCCATAGCCAGGGATTGCAATTTAAGGTACCTTGTTAATATGTTTAGAAAGGTTGTTTTTCAAACTCTCACAAATAGCAAGAGATTTCCCAATCAAAAAGGAGCACCAACTCTTTATAAAATTTAAGAGACAGAAAGAAGCCACGGCCAAAAGAAAGTGAGGCAACATGTAGCTGACTGGCCATCTGGGTGTTTGGCATTCTGCTGTAATTTCCCAAGCTATGTGCACATTATACACAGAATCACTATTGGCAATTGCCACAGGAATAGACATTCTGTAAGTCAGGGCTGTCCAACAGGTGGTCCATGGCCCAGGACTGGCTCTGGCCCCCAAAAAGTTAGTGTGTGGGCCCTGGATGCCTGGTTCAGATACTACCATAGCCCACAGGGCTGAGGATGCCTGCAGCTGTGGAGGTTGGGGAACCTGTGATGGGGAGGTGGGCACAGAGAAGGGCACATGGCATGGTGCAGCAGGATCTCATGTGGTACAGTGTAGGGATGCTGGCCTGGGGCAGCTGGAGGGAGTGGGGAGCAGTCCATTCAGTGCAAAATGCCCAAGCCAGTCAGAAATTGGGCAGTCCTGCTTTAAGTCATTAATAGAAATATCTAGGTGCATTTTGAAGTATACAACACTCCAATTAAATACAAAATCCTGATAAAAGAAACACAGAATTTTACTTTTATTTCCCCCACCCCACCCCTTCTCAGTTTTTAGAGAGGTTATACCATGGTTGCATTTTTAATCCATTACATGCAAGTATTTTAAAGCGGCTCTCTCTCCACCACAGGGAATTTCAATTGCAAGCTGATGGCTCTGTAACACCCTACTAGCATTTTATATAATAATCCATTAAGAAAAAAATCTCACTAAAATGTTTTTCTTTTTAGATTAATTTATTTCTAGAGACTCCATTGGACTAAGTAGACCAGAGGCACACGTAACTGTTCTCTGCTCTGGGTGGTGACAGCACATGATGCAGGTACAGTAGCCAGAGGCCCACAGCTGCTGGAGGGAGATGTTACCTCCTTTTTTCCAGGCTGTCAAGGAATGGCCATTTAAACACCAATTTTTGGTGGCAAAAAAGGAGGTGGCATCTCCTTCCACAGCAGTGAATCTCCAGCCATTGCTCCTACCCTTTATGCCAGGGGTGGGCAAAATAAATCCCGTGAGCTAGATGCGGCCCACCAGGCCATTGTATCTGGCCCACGGAGCCCCCCCAAAATTTAGAAAATTCATATTTATCTGTCATACAGCCCTTGATGGCTTGCCAAAACTCAGTAAGCAGCCCTCGGCGCAAAATCATTGTCTGCCCCTGCTTTATGCTTTTAGTGTTCAGGGTACCATGCACCACTGTTGCTTCTTTGCAATATTATATCCATTTTATACATACAGAACTGAGGCACAAGGGTAAAAGCCAGAATCCACAAGGGCCACCTACATTCTGTTTAAATATCAACCATTACTTTAAGTTCACACTCAGCTGCTCCTTAACTTCTGTAGACACCTCCTTATTTGACATTCAATTTCCCCATTTCACCTGTATAAACAGTCTCTGAAGCAGGGACTGGAACTCTGCCTTGCAAAAAAAGTCTCATAACCACTATAATATAGCCTGCTCACTCCTAATCCCTGATCATTTTCTGTTGCACATTGACTCTTATATACATTTCTGCTCAGTGTTGCAGCTTCAACAGAATAGGTGAAGAGCGCACCTGTCTCACAGTAGCCTATCTCAGAGGTGGTTAGGTCATTCTCTAATGAGGTGGATTTGAATCCCTGTAAGTAGAGGAGGATATTGAGCATGGGTTTCTCACACCTGGATGATTGCTCTAACCACCAAGCTATTGTTTAAAGTGGGGCAGGGGCATTGCCACCTCTTCCAGCTAAGAAAAGTTAGAGACTTAGTTTCTGAAAGAAAGGGCTCTTATCTCCTATTGATGGTTCTGGACCATGTGCTCTGTATTGGGAGAAGTCCATGCTTGCAGTCCTGAATAAGGTACTTAAGCCCCAGAGTAGGATGTACTTTAAGACACATTTGTCCTCCGCCTTTCCTATTGGCTAACTTTATGTGGCTCCCTGCTTCACATGCTATTTGTTGTGAACCCCAGACTATACGGAGTGCTTCATTCAGGGTCCTGGACACCTAAATGTTGAGTGCTGAGATTCTTAGCATTTCAGTGTCACTATGTCAGTTTTTGGCTTTAGCCCAAAGTGACTTTCAAGTGAATGAGAAATGCATAAGCTTTTCTGAGTGATAGCTCACTTCATCAGATGCTGTGCTGTTTTTAAACAATGGAATTTTTAAAAACTACTTGGAGGCAAAATTGCAAAATAAGAAATCATCCACAGACTGGATTGTGTTAAATACAGTCTAAAAAGGGACTATGGCTTCATATTCCATTACCTGGATTAGTTTTAATGCCCCTGTGGGTTTGTTGCTTTGTTGTTCTCTCCAACCCTTCTGCCTCTCTAAGCACTGCCCTCTCTCCTTCCTACTCTCTT